GTGCCAGCATAGCCAGGAAGCCTTCTACGACTATAGTCCCCCTTAAGTAGATAGAATATGGCTTTGGGTATGTTAAAGTAAGATCCCCATATACCCCATATTCTATCTACTTAAGGGGGACTATAGCCGTAGGGGTTTCGATTTGGTTTGGGTCGGACCATACCATGATGAATTATGCCGAGGGTGAACTGCACAAAGCAGTTGCTCTTGTTAAGTGCGCTGCAGGGCTTCTGTTTCGTTTTCCAGGTTGCGTGGCGCAAAAAAAACGCAATACTTAGAGATTAATGGGGTTCCGACAAAAGAGGGAGGGTAATTTAGGGCAGTGGCCCCGAACAAATGTGAAAAGTCTCAGGCCCCTACTAGGCCTCGAGTGCTGTGGATCTGGGGCTAACATCCATGGATTAAAGGTGTGAGGTAGACGTGGGGCCCATTTGGAAGAACTCCTGCCGAATGTATTCCGGAATCATCAGAGACCCTCAAATGATGCTGTTCAGCAACGTTGTTGTCAAGCAGATGGCTTGATTTCTACCAGAGGCCCAAGAACCACGCAGGACATATTGCGGCAGTTCTTCAAGGTCCTTCGAGCAAACATCGAACCTGGATGCTTGGGCCAGACTGAGCTGTTCGGAGACTCTGGCTGGATCCGTCTGTTTGTGCATGAGCTCTTCAGACATCGCAGCGACGTAGCCACCATGGTATTTGTGGATGCTGGAGACTATGTGTTTCTGGAGGACGTGTCGCTTGTCTTAAGCCAGCGGCAACATTTCTCGGCGTCGCAGTTGGCGGCGTCTCCGCGACATGGACACATGCTGCCGAGAGTGACATTTTGCCTTTGTGATTTCTTGATGTTAGCATTCTTGAGTAAGACAAGCAACTTTAAACAGTATCTGCTGCTTCGCAACGAATCTTGAGAAGCCAAAGGGAACCCCAAGAATATAGTNNTAGGAATATACCTACCGGGGTCCTTGTAGTCTAATACATTCCTGCTTTATTCAAGTTCAATGGGCCCCATCAATGAAGGGCAACCAGAAGTAGGAGCTTCTTATGCGCACCGTGAATGTCCCTTGCAAACGCTCCCCAACTTCACCGCAGGTTAATGTCTACACCCCTGGGCTGGTCCAAAAATCAGATCCTCCTGAATCACCCGATAGTAGTCGTGTTTGGGATTAAGGCCTAGAGCTCGGGTGTACGCTTCTTAAACAGAACCGTTGAGATCTCAACCCTATACCCAAAATTTCAAATCCTCAACCCTACAAGCTAAACTAGACCGCCATCCCTAAATCCTAGGAGAGATGCCCTTCCAGCTCCTAGACTTGCGCCGCATGAGGCGCGCAAATTTCACGAAGATTCTCTCAGAGATCGATCCTGGATCATTGTTTAACAGGCGTTTTGCAGAAACCCTATGTACAAAACCTGGAAGCTAGAAACCTTCCAAGTATATTTCGAATCCCTGAAGATCATGTAACAGTCCCAATTATCCCCCATGTCAAGCTACTTATCTACCAAGTCTCCCTGACCTTCCAAGTAG